CAGATATCTTTTTGGTGCCATTTACCATGGCAAGCTTAAAGGTCCAACTAGCATCCTCTCATAACAGTTCTAGAGGGTCTGGGATGGTAACTTGTGGGACCACAATCAGTTATCAGTAGAGTTTAAAGAATGTGCAGTTATCTTATAGTTGTCAAAAGACAAAACTTGCAATACCGGTAGTCATCTCTTTCATATTTTGAAACTGTTGAGCTTTTCTTTGGTATGTACTGTATGTGGGATGATACTCATGCTTGCAAGTTATGTTTTCTAATTTACCATAAAGTATTCTTCTAAGATGCTGTTATCCCTTCAACAGCTGCTCCCTCCCTTCCTCTGCGGACTGCAGAAATAATTGCCTGTAAGGTGTTTGACAAGTTGCATGCAAGTCATGTACCACATACTGCCAGCTTGTAGACTGCTGAAGATTGTTGGTGTAAGAGGAAAATCTAAAGTCATTTGCTTAACAAAGTTGGCTGAGTCTTTAATTGCACATAATTATGTAACTTTAGATGCTGATATTAAGGCATCGACGTCTGATGAAGTGAGATTGGTGTCTGAAAGAAACTTACCTGGGGAAATTCTAGCATGGCAAGAGTCCAACCAAAATAAAGAAAACAAGCCAACAAACTAATTTGAAAAATACATTTGTGCACATCCTAAATGTATTTTTTCAGTGAGTAACTTGCAATTTCATGTACTTATCTGCAGAGAGATCAATAGCAGAAATCTCTCAAGCGAGACTCGGAGGAAGAGATGGCAGCAATGCCTGTACATTAATTGCAATTGTTTTAGGGCGAATGTTCTGTCGAAATGAATCACAACTGTTTGTTTCATTTCAAAAAGGGACAAGTAGTCCTTTGAACACATCATGGTTGCATGCATTGGCCAATGCCATTGTTGACGGTAATACAATTTATGACAAACACATGTCAAATAAATCACCTTGTTTATTAGATGTCGAAACAGCATGCTCTTTAGCTGAAAGTGAGCTAAAGGTGGCAAGGATTTGTGAACCACTGCCTGTTTGGTTTAATTCAGATTTTGAGTGTGCACCATTAGCAACAATTGAATACCAACTCTTTCTTTTTTCACTTAATGAAGGGAGAAACTGCACAATATTGACATCCAATGGAAAGTCTAGTGTAATTTTAAGTGAAGGCACAGGAAAGCTTCTACTTGTAGATACACACAATGATGTTTTGTCCAATTGCGGCTCTCAGTTTGTCGTAGGAAATGTGCAACAGGTATCACAGTTTCTTAAAAGAGAGGCCTGTAAGTTTCCAGAGAAGCAAAGATATGGGGTATTGACAATGATTGAGTTTCTGCCATAGCTGCTGCTTAGTAAATAAATGAAATGGTTTTGATAAAAACAAGCAGTATAAGGGTGAATAACACCTGCAGTCTTCAAGTTTGCATTCGAACATTTGCTATTTGAGCCAATCAAATGTCGAATACAGAACAATGAAATTCATGAAACTTAATATGATGAATACAGCATTGACTTTTTGATTTCAAAATTTGAGTTAATTGTTTCACATGTTATGTTTTGGCAGTACAATTTAGAGAATAAAATGTTTAGTCATGCAAGTGAGTGAGAAATTTCAAACTGTATGAAAGCGGTAAACTTGACAGTGCCCAACACATGGGATGGTTTCCAGCCATTTTCGGGTAATTAGGAGAATCTGGTTCTAGCTAGTACTTTGGAAGTACAAATAGCAACAATGTGTAAAGATCAGGACAGATGTATGGCTGAGGAAGTTTTTGTTGTAGGATTTGTTCCTTGTTTCCCAACAGAAGGCCTGTTGTACTTGATCCATTTCTTGCTCTGTTAATTGAAGAGATTGAGACTGGTTTCATTGAAGGTGTAGATGCATGTAGAGTATGCACTTGAAACTCTATGGCAAGAAGCTGGACCAGCTAAGCTAAGACATTCTCATACTTTGTACAGCTATAACCGGCCAGCAATGTGTGAACTGCATGTGTATATCAAAATTTTGTGGCAAGTCTCCATGTCAAAAATTGCAAATGTGGCAGCAATCATGCAAGCGAAGAAACAAACACTTATTATTATTATGATATGGAGACCATCGCATTAGCATGACGTTTATTTATGTAAGCATATGAGTCGAAAAGTCATCGCCGTATTCATCATAAAGCTTCATGAGTGAACAAGTTGAAACTTGATTGGCTCAAATCACAAATGTTGGAATATGTATTAATGTTCCTGTTCTGTACTGTGAGTGGTTAACATTGTCTTGGTGGCCCACTGTAAGATTGCAAGTCTAGCTCATTCATCGTTACACTTACTGAGATTATAGTATTAATCTTGTTGCATTTAGCTAATATAGTGAGGTTAATTAAGTTGGCTGGAGATTTGACCTGCTCCAAGTTGCTCATTTTATTCTTTGGGAAAACACTTAATTGCAATTAATTTGTTCCACTGAAATGTTTGCGACAATGCACTTATTTTAAGAGCACATACTGCATCATCAGTCAAATCTTTTACAGCTGACATGCTGATGCAGGGTAAATTGTGAATTCAACACATTATGTTTTGCATGTACTAGTGGATGCAAGCATTTTGACGTAGATGGTCAAAACAATCGCTTAATTATTGACCCCAGAATAAAAAAGAGCAACTTGCATTGGCACATTAATTAGTTTAACAAGGAATATACAATGTCAATTCAAACTATTTTGGCCAAACCGTGCATCATAGGTAACACAGGGACCACTGCAAAAATATAAATTGGAATTCTTAGTTTATTTTTAATTTTTTGTTTGTGCCCTAATTATCATAAATTTTGTGTTATAAAAAATGTGAGTGGGAAGATGTACACAGTGGTACACACTTTTTACCTCGGTGCTCTCATTACCCATGACACCATTCTGCCAAAAGGGCCTCTTGAAGATGCCCTGATATACACATGTATCAGGGCATCTTCAAAGAGGCAGCTGTTGAGTTTTCAAAGAAAAGTACAAAATCGACCTCGTTCCCTGGGTCTACTAATGCTTTCAAGATGGCGGCCGGGCACGGAGAAGACCCTGGCACCGGCTGGCAAAATACTCCACGAATCGTGGAGTATTTTACGATCGAAACTCGTTTTTTCTACACTTGACCAACGGTTCGGAGTAGACCCTGGGAACGAGGTTGGTACAAAATATAGCGTATTGACATAGCTGAGCTAAGGTAAATAACAGTTACCAATCATGTGTGCCGAAAAGCAGCACCAGAAAGTGCTTTTGAAAAATAAACTTAATTGTATTTTTGTGCAGTTCTTGTAGGATTTCAAAATCTAATTCAAGGCTAGTTTAACAATTTTTAAGTGCCCTGCAGATGGCAAGCATTATATTCTCTTCACTGGCTCCCATATATTTCTTATGGAACTGGTTGAGAGAATTTGTTATACCATCATGATGTTTTAGTTTTGGAAAACGATAGTGCTTTGGGGAGTGTGATTGGTAACCACCGTAACATAAGCTGTATGTTCTGTTGTAGTTGACCCATATGTGTACACATTTGTGATCGTAATTAACCTATGTCAGCCATCATTCTCCCTTTTTAATTTCCTGGTGTGAGGTTTTATTTGGACAAAGTAATCTGAACATTAAGCTTATTTTTCAATACTGTAATTGTTGTATGTTAAAGTGGCTGAAGTCACAGGCATCAAAGCTCTCATTCAGATTACCAGGATGTGACTCTTGCTTATGACAGGTAGTGTGTTACATAAATTGTTACATTGTAAATCGAATCTTTCAATACAATATTAATACCGCTCATAAGAAGAGAGATAATTAAGAGTCACATCTCAGTAATCTGATCGAGAGCTTGCACCTGTGCTGAATTTCTTTCCTCAGGGCATAAGTATTGTTCTCATAATAAATGTTTGAGACTTCTTAGTTGCCTGGATTGATGGCTGGTAAAGGTGGTATGATACTATAATGTGATATGATTTGTTGTAATAATTAATATTGTAACATTAATATAAATACATATATAGACCTTATTCATAAATGGCGGTGGATTAATAATTATTTTATATTCATGCATGCTAATCAGCCTCCCTAGCCTCATTTTAGAGTAAAATAATAATTAATCGGCCGCCATTTATGAATATAGGTCTATATAATTAATGAAGAAGTATTGTATCGATCAGTGTATCTGCTTCATTAAAATATTCTTTGAATTTGAGGAAGTTTGTATGTTATATTCTAACTCTGAAGGTTACAGATATGTGGCATTGGAATTCAAACTTTTTGGAATTTGGAAGTGTTGATTTATGGAGGTGGGAAACCCTGGTTAATGAACACTGGCATGTACGACTTTAGCTTGACTGGTATGAAACCTGGCCTGACTCTGTACTGAAATCCAAGCCACACTTGCCATCCCTGGTTTGGAAGTTCCAAAGGACAGTATACTAAGACTCCACTCCTCAATATATGTAAACATCAAAAAAGAATAAACCCTGCAAATTCCCAAAGAAAAGTTGCAAATTCCCAAATTCTTTATGCCATTCTAAAAGGGACAATTCCCAAAATTGGCAAAATATCCAATATGGGGATTTAACAAATACCCAAGTTCCTGTTTGGGAATTGTCTCACTTTGCCAAATTTGGGATTTTTATGGGTATTATATAAATACCCATAACAAATCCCAAAATGGGAATTGGGTATTTTTCCCTGTGTATTATAAGCACATCTATTCTATTAATGAAGAAGCACTCTCAAGTCGAAATACTCAGAAAAAAATTCTGAGCTCCCCAACGGGAATCAAACCCATGACCTTCCAGGTGCCGGTTGGCACCTGGTTCGATTCCCGTTGGGGAGCTCAGAATTTTTTTCTGAGTATTTCGACTTGAGAGCCTTCTTCATTAATTCACTTTATCCAAGTCATCCACTTATCATTTATTCACATATTCGCTTTGACATTATTGAGCCTTGCAGTATGGCAGGACATATTGTCACATATGAACCTAGTTGTATGGCCTTGCTCACCATGAGTCATCCATAGCTCAGTGGTTAGAGCGTCCAACCGGCACCTGGAAGGTCATGGGTTCGATTCGCATTGGGGAGCTCAGAATTTTTTTTCCCCTGAGTATTTCAACTTGAGAGCGCTTCTTCATTAATTCACTTTATCCAAGTCATCCATTTATCATTTATTCACATATTCGCTTTGACATTATTGAGCCTTGCAGTATGGCAGGACATATTGTCACATATGAACCTAGTTGTATGGCCTTGCTCACCATGAGTCCTCCATAGCTCAGTGGTTAGAGCGTCCAACCGGCACCTGGAAGGTCATGGGTTCGATTCCCGTTGGGGAGCTCATAATTTTTTTTTTCTGAGTATTTCGACTTGAGAGCGCCTCTTCATTAATTCACTTTATCCAAGTCATCCACTTATCATTTACATCTATTCTAATAAGTGCATATATTCTAATAAGAGCATCTATTTTAATAAGTGCATCCATCTATTCTTAGTAAAGTGCATCTACTCTAATAAGCGCATCTATTCTAATAAGCACATCTATTCTAATAAATAAGCACATCTATTCCAATAAGTGCATCTATTCTAATAAGCGCATCTATTCTAATAAGCGCGTCTATTCTAATAAGAGCATCTATTTTAATAAGCGCGACTATTCTAATAAGCGCATCCATTCTAATAAGTGCATCTATTCTAATAAGCGCATTTAATTCATACCGAAAAGCACCCTATATGGAGGTCTTGGAAAAAGTTGTGTGAAGTTGTTCTTGCTTTAAGAAGTAATGCGGACTGACCAAAAATTTTTATTTTTTCTCATACACGTACTGTCCAGAGATTGATTGCGCTGTGTGCCTTTGGTACCTTGGGAAATATATGGTTGAGCTTCCTCGTATCATCCTGCTCCCCAAACTCACCACCAACCCCACCCACTCCCTTTCCTGCCAATAGACCTTTCTCCAAAATTGCCATCGCAAATTCATATCAAACTGAGCAGAAAATCAATACAATAACCTGAAAGACCACTTCTTGTTTGGTAATCATATGAAGTTTGGTTAGGTTAGGTTCTACCTGAGTCGAGAAAATGGAAGTTGAAAACTGAAAAATTTAGAAACTGATTTTCTCACATGGTAGAGAACATAGTAAGAGTGTCCTCATTCTTAAAAAAAATAATTTGAAGTTTGATCTGGAAGAATGTTTTAGATTTTTACCTTGAGAAAGTGGGTGGTAAATTTTGCTTACACTGTAATTTTGATTGTTGTAAATTAGGTATTCCACTGCCTCTTTTTTACAAGGAATGTTTAGATGCCAGGTCCTCTGTGACTTGTCACGACTCGGTCTCTTATGAAAGAAAGTATAATGAATCAAATTATTTGGAATAATAAGCACATCTTATGTGAGGGGAATCTTTTTTCCAGCCTTTCTATTACAACCAAGGGATTATTAAAGTTGGTGACCTTGTTTCTAAGGATCGCATCTTTCTGAAAAGTGACAAGATTCTAAACTCCTTACTACCCCCTTGTTACTCTTTCATCTTAATGGGTATTGTTGATGCTATTCCAAGTGAATGGCATTCGGCAATTAAGACAACCCCATTTCATGCACCCTTTTCTCTGGACAAAACTGTCTTTCAACTGTCATTATTGGGTAAATCAATTGATCTTACATGTGCTACATCTAAATTATTCTACAAAGAAATTTGTTCTCAGAAGCAAACTCCACCCACTGCTAAGGCTAAAATTTCAAGTCGATATCCTGATATTTCTGTAGATTTGAAAAGGCTTTATTCCTTAGCTTTCGAAATTACTTAAGACACCAAGCTTAGAGAATTCCAGTACAAGTTATTAAATCTCATTATTTTTACCAATAAGAAACTTTATCAGTTTAAAATGGTAGAATCACCCTTATGTGCCTTTCGTAAGGAGGATGAGGAATCCCTGGAGCATTTAGTGCTCTTTTGTAAGTCATCAAGTCTTTTCTGGAAAGAACTTTTGAAGTGGCTTGTGGAAGATTTTAATATATCACTTAATGTTTCTCTGTTAGACACTCTTTTTGGGAAATTTGATATTAACAATGACTTTATTTTGGTTAATCATTTACTATTACTTGCTAAATATGTATAGTCTTCAAAGCTAAACTAAGAGTGACAAAGGATGCAATATTATTTATGCATTTCAAGAAATGGGATCCATTTCTTCCGTGTTTTTATCCACCTTACTGATATAGAAAAAATATTAATATGCAACTTTCTCACTTTTCAATGTTTATCATTGTAATTTATGCTTATAATTTGACCTTATTACTTTATTTTTTTTGTTTCTTATTTATTTTTCATGGTTAGCTAGCATTTAAGTTAATATATTTTTGGTAATTTGTAAGTATATTGTCATTTGTAAGTGTATTGTACTGTAAAGTGTTATTAAAATGCAAATAAAAACTATTTAAAAAAATAAAATAATAATGTGTGGAAGCAAGAAGAGCAAAACGTGTGCATCCCCCGAAGCCAAAATCATAAACTGCTACCAGCACAGAGGCCAATCCTTCAGCCACCAGCTCCAACACAAGTACATGTAGTAACTGTGGGCATTACTAAACACAGGAACAGAACAGAATGCATCTGAATGAACCAGAATGATACCGAAGAAGGTAGAGAATTCCAGTTCCTAATGTCTCTCCAAAACCTTGGATGAGTTCAAACCACCCCTTTGAGGCTGTGGAGGTAAACTAGGGCATGATTGTGTGCTGGTTGTAAACTGTCTTTCAAGGACGAGGAGCCTCCCCATGAAATTGTCCTCAAACATCCTGAGAAGGACTTCATTGCAGGAACCAACAAAACCAAGATAACACCAACAGCCCCACCATGGTACAGGAGTACACAATGAAGCCGCTCCACAGGGTGATCTTAGGCTAGCTGGCTAATTTTAAATTGGGATAGAAATTTTTCTGGGAGTTTACTCTTACCACAGGCTTACCATCCTCTGTTTGTGGTCACAGATATCTACGATATTCAAATTTCTTAGTACAATAGAATTGTTATTGTGAACATTAGTCTTCCTAAAATTGGTATTTAGGACTGTCTATATTTAATAAAATAAAGTCCAAATGTCTGGACGTTGTTTAACTTTGCTTTGAAGCGGTTTTTACGGTGATTTGATGCGCGCGAGAGCAGTTTTCGGACTTCAAAGTTTTTACTCGCTTTTAGAATACTAATACTCCAACAAGGCATGCAACTTCGAGCAGTTTTGGACCGACAAATTCCGTACCTCCTCTCGAATTTTGCCCTAAAAAAAGCATTTCTTCCATTCGATTTCATAACAGCTCCCGCATCTCGAAAGACTAGTCCTCGGACTACACTCTGGCCAAATTTGAGTACGAAAGGTTCGCGGAATGATCTTGAAAAACCAGCTGGAATATCGAATGAGTTTGAAAATTCTCGATTTTACTATGATCTGTACCTCCGGCTGGGACAATTATGCACATATTTTTAAAAAAACGTGTATACGGCGTCGAAATTACTACCTATGCCCTCCCCAGCGCGAGAAATGTGTACCACGACAAACACTTCACTGGGGTACCCAGTTGAAATACGGCTACCCTGAGAAAAAGGAAAATAAGCCTATCAAACGGAATAAATCTGTATAATTGTGAATATAAATTGATTTCTCACTCCACGTTGTCTACAGTGTCGCCGTCGTGATTGCCTAAGTTAAGATCAACGAGACTACTGTATTTCACCTGAGTACCCCAGTGAAGTGTTTGTCGTGGTACACGTTTCTCGCGCTGGGGAGGGCATAGGTAGTAATTTTGACGCCGTATACACGTTTTTTTAAAAATATGTGCATAATTGTCCCAGCCGGAGGTACAGATCATAGTAAAATCGAGAATTTTCAAACTCATTCGATATTCCAGCTGGTTTTTCAAGATCATTCCGCGAACCTTTCGTACTCAATTTGGCCAGAGTGTAGTCCGAGGACTAGTCTTTCGAGATGCGGGAGCTGTTATGAAATCGAATGGAAGAAATGCTTTTTTTAGGGCAAAATTCGAGAGGAGGTACGGAATTTTTCGGTCCAAAACTGCTCGAAGTTGCATGCCTTGTTGGAGTATTAGTATTCTAAAAGCGAGTAAAAACTTTGAAGTCCGAAAACTGCTCTCGCGCGCATCAAATCACCGTAAAAACCGCTTCAAAGCAAAGTTAAACAACGTCCAGACATTTGGACTTTATTTTATTAAATATAGACAGTCCTAAATACCAATTTTAGGAAGACTAATGTTCACAATAACAATTCTATTGTACTAAGAAATTTGAATATCGTAGATATCTGTGACCACATAAAACAGAGGATGGTAAGCCTGTGCTCTTACTGATTGAAACCTCGCTGGGAGTTAAGGAGGGACCTTCTTAACTACCATTATATTGCTGAAGAAGACTTCAAACTATCATATATTTGGATCTACGACTTTTACATGTGAGCTGTTTGCCCATGTTTGTTCAATTGTAAACAGCTGTCTATCTATTTCTGGAGTGTTTTTTTATTTCTGGAGTGAAATTTTCCAAGATAATTAATCTCACAAGGCACCCTTTGGTCTTATTAATCGTAAAAGCCGTTCTTTCTACTTGTTAATCTTGAACCACGTCATTCACGATTAATAATCTGTCCATTCAGGATTATTAATCGCGCAATTCACGATTAATAACCTAGTTTGATGGGCATTACGATTAATAATCGTGCAATTCACGATTAATAACCAGGTTTGCCAGGCTTCACGATTAATAATCGTGCAAAAATCGTGCAAACCACGATTAATAACCAAGTTTGGCAGTCAATGCAAAAGATCATTGGAAAACAAATTTGAGTTAACCGGCCGCCATTACGAAAAAAAATCAAGCTCTTCAACTACTTTACACGGTGCTTTCTAAGAAATAAATAGAACGCAGCCAAATTTTTGAGGTTACAAAGTTTCCGTAGCACTTTGCTTTTATTTAATTAGTTTGTTCCTGAAGCGATATTCTCCATGTCTTTCACTCTTCGACGAACAACAACGCGACAGCGCGAAAATAGCCATAACAGCGATCAATACGAAACCGTTTTCGAA